AGGATCCTAGAGACAGCACACGACTGGGAGAAACACTGGCAGAAATGGATCAATCAAACTGCATTCTAGCTGTCTCAAATGTGGAGGCCAGCCCCTCCCCCTTGGACTGAGTTAGCTTCTGGGATTCTTGGACATTGCAGGAGAAGAGTAGACTCCCTACTGTCAAGGTTTGGGGAGAAATGGTTAAGTAATTGTTTCGCAATGTAGGAGACCCTAGGTATTTAGAATTTGTGATGCAGGTCATGTAGGTTATATTTGGAATGGAAAAAACTTGGGGCTTGAGAAAACATAAATTGTATTTCCTAACCCCAATCTCCCACATGAAGCTCTCTCTTCTGTGACTTCATGCCAATGTCCTTGCTCAAAGCCAGCTCCTCTTCTGCATCCTAGTTCCAGCTTGGCAACACTTGGCACAGAGGTGCTTGAGCTTTCTTATCTCTGTACCTTTTGCTTTAACTCTCTCCTATTTCCAGTTCTCTTTGTTTTCCAATAGTCTCCCAGAGGAAGGAATTGCAAGCTGTAGATTTAGAAACCAAACTCTGTAGTTGCTGAAAACAGCTGCAAAAAAAATTCCACGTGAATCCAATTTTGCAATCGAACTCACAGTGCCTAGAGTCTATTTAGAGCCCATTTGTAGCACCTATTTCCCAAACCATACTCTCCTCTGATCCCCCATTATGATATTTACTGAAAGCATTAGGGGACTAGAACTATATTTTTGTGATATTTTAACTGAATCATTAATGTAAATATGAATTATCCATCCAATAAGATATGCATGTCAATTGGATGTTTGATTAGTTGGTTATTTATGGAATATATGCATATAATATAAATTAAACATATTGAATACAAAACCTAGTAGATAGTTTACCTAGGTTCAGAGTCTCAATAAAATTTTTAGTAAGATTAATGTGAATTTTAGAAATAATACTCATAATTTTAAAATTAATTTTCATTAGAAGAAATGAGGCCTCATCTAGCATGATAGTATTTTTCATGGAAGCATAAAATTGCATGTGTAGAAGACAAGAGTGAATTTTAAATAGCCTATTTTAAATAGGGTAAAAACTCAGCATAATTATTTTCTGTACACATTATTAATCATATTATTCAAAGCACAGGGGCAAAAGAGTTAATTTTAAATTAAATAAATACTTAAATATATTTAAATAAGTAACAAACCTAATTAAATACACACTTGCTAAAGTTTATTCCTTTTGTTAGAATTTTTCTTTTAGAATTCAAAATAATGTCCAATTTCTAACAAATCCAATTTTTAAAATCATACGGTTGACATTTGGCATTGAAGAGCTATTTTATCATGAGTTTTATATTAAAATGTGTTTTATATTAAAATATAAAATAAGTGAACATAGTAAGCTCATTAAATACATGCATTAACAAATATCACATATTTTAAAGTAATACCTGCAAAGATGTTTATGAACATGCAGCAACAAATGACCAACAAGCCATGAAGTTCCAAACACTTCTCATGTTCCCTTTAGAAAAAAGTGTCTATTGGTGGTCCACTACAATTATGTTACCCCCACATTACTTTGGCCACAACCAAATAGAACAGGGCTGGTCCTGAGCAAAAGGCAACTTGCAATAGGACAGCCTATCATGCCGCCTATGCAAGAATTTATCTGAGAGGACACTCCATATTTGATAACAACTAAAGAAGACAGTCAGATGGTGCTTCTATAAAATGCAACTTAGTGGAAATATATCATGTGTAGCACTTCCATGTGGCAGAAGGAAGAAGAGTTCTCATGTATCTGTTCCCCTGTCACATGGCTTTCCATATGATGGCACTTCCCTGAGTCTGACTTTGTGGAGCAGAAGCCTTCCATCTCTCCTGCACCCCGTCTCCCTTCCAATTGGCACTGAACCTCCAGCACGAGAAATAAAACTTTGCTGTATTAAGCCTTTGAGAACTTGGGGTTTATTTATTATTGAAGCATAACCTATTATCTCCTGGAAGTGAAGTGCTGTATTAAAAAATAAATTGTGTAGTGCTGACTTAATAGTTGGCAACATGTGTTTAGGAGACTGTTATCTAAGGGAGAAAAGATAACAATTCCATGTTATACAGTGGTAAAATACTTGCTAAAATACTCACCTATGATAACTTAGGAATGAGATCGTATACATAAGGATTTCACATCTCTGGGAGGAAGTGTGTGAAAAACAAAGTGTTAGTAGGATGTCTAGGTTATTATTTGATGCATTTTTCAAAATAGCAAAGAAAAAAGAAAGAGATGAGTGATTTCATAAGTAGAAATAAAAGAAAATAGAGACTTCCAGGAATCGAAGACCTTGTCATGTTTGACTATCCAATTAATGTTTGCTCGCAAAGAAACAGATAAAATTAGGAAAGCATGGGAGAAAAGGTTCATTAAAGCCAAATATTGTTGGCAAGAATCAGATTAAGGATGTGATCTTCATGGTTACTTAAAACCTCTTACTGGTTTACAATTTCTGGAAGGAAAAATCAGATAAAGAATCTGGCTTTACCACTTACTACTCCAGAGATGCTCAAATACATTGAGAAAAACGTGGGGATAAAAAAAAGCAAATAAATATAGTAGATCCAAGGTCTATATTTCCAATGAAGTATAGTGTGGCTGCTGGAAAAATAAAACTGATTGTCAGACAGACAATGTACCTCTACAGACTTCAGAGAATTTTACTTCCAGGGGAACTATGACCTTGGAGTAAAAAGCCTGTGAGCCTTACATAACTGAAATAACCCGTGGACCCCCAATCTCCTATGAAAGTGAAGTGAACTGAAAACCCTGTCAACCCCTAAGAAGGTTGAGGTATACATATATATTTAAAATTGTTGTATGCACCCACCGCACATGGGAGATTGGCTAGATGTGAACTAAATTTGACCTTACATTTTTTTTTATGTCACTCCAAAGGAAATGGGCTACTTTACTAAGCATATAGCTACCCTTGCCCAGGACATAGTAGAATATAGCAATTTAGGGTAATTCCAGTTTAATGGTGCAACTCTAAATGTGGTAACTTTGAATAAATAAAATGTGAGGTCTATTGATACCATCCAGTTCCCAGCTGAGAGAAACACCTGACCTGCCACATCTATGGTGGAGCAATGGTGACTTTGGCTCCCTGAATCTCTCCTACAGTGGGGGTAAGAGGATTTTTTTGTTGGTTTTTGTCTGTGTGTTTTGTTTTGTTTTTTGGTTAGGGCCTCACTCTAGTCTCTGGGAAAAGCTTCCTACTCCTTTGTCCTCCAAGACCCCTAGCACCGAATCTGAGAAGTTCTTGCTTCCTCCTCCTCCCCCCATTATGTTCCTTGGCCAAATATAAAATGAAAAGTGTAGAATATGCCCTCAGTTGAGATTGGGTTTTCAATTTCTGTTTTACTTGGGTCACAGCAAACATCCAGTTCTTTGAGTAGCAATATGCACTCAAGAAACCCACAACCACATAGTTAAACATTTATAAATTGCAGCATTTATTCCCTCAAAAGCTTACGCAGGTAAGCAAGCTTTTTTAAAAAGTAGGAAAATGGTGTACAAATTGAATCTCTGAATGACTCAGCCTTCCTCTGTCCTGACCACTCGAAGATGTCTCCAGCTTGTTGTCATCTAACCCTTGGCATTGGCTGCTTACACACAACATTGGAAGAATTCTGACAACTTTAAAGTCCATAAAATATATAATAAAAAGATTGCTTTAAAATACTTCATAAGTTTTCTTCTTCTAGTAAATATGGAAACTTTATATAAATACAAAGAAGAAAATCAAGTTGTCCAAGTTGATAAAAAGCAAATTTACCTGTAATTTCATCCTGCTATCTTACAATCTTACCTGTTTGACAATAGGGAGGGAGTACAGTCTTTGGCATCTTGATTTTCTTCACTTACCATTTTGTGAACATTTTTCTTTGTTTTTAATAGTCTTCAAAATATGTTTTTAACAGTTGCCAATATTACAGACTATATACAAGAAACTGTAGTGTGTTGATTGTTTTCAACAATTTCTATGCTCATGAATTTAATTTATGTACATAAATATTTATCTGCATAGCTGACTATATCTTCAGCATAAGGTGCATAAATGTAATTATTAGGTCTAAATGTTTGTACATTTTATGACACTTGATGTATATTGTGAAATAGACTTACAGAAAGGTTGCACTTTCTTACTATTATCACACAATCTGAGAAAATAAGTAGACGTGGAACTTAGACAAAACTACACCTCAGTGCTATTTTAAATTACATATCTTTGTTTACTTGTGGGGTTGATTTTTAAAGATATTATTGTTATGCATTCACCTTTCTTTAGTGAAGTACTTGTCATTTGCTTTTCCTCTTTTTTCCTTTAAAGCCATTAGTGTTTTTCTTTTGATATGAGGTATTTGATGTGTGAAACATATATTTGCTGCAATTTTTCCAAGTAGTATTTACATTTATGCTTTTATATTTTTGCATTCAAAAGGACTTTTATGCATTCAAACTATTGATCTATTTTCTTTGTGGTTGCTTCTATTCCTACTGTGTTTTATGAACCTTTTCTATCCTAAGATCAGAAAAATATTTTTTATGTTCTAGTTTTTAAAAATAATTTAACTTTTGTATCTAGCTCTTTAATCTATGTGGGGTTAATTATGGTGGGAGAAGACTTTAATTTGAGTCTTTCCCAAGTCATTCATTTTTTTTTAAACCACATTTGTTAGTGAAATAATCTATTCTTTCCCCCATAGGTCTGTGATACTTACTTTCTCATCTGGTATATTTGCACACACACACCTCTGACCTGTTTCAGAAGTTGCATTAATCTGATGGAAAGATTCTGTTTTTAGGATTAGGGGGTGATGTGTAATGGTTCTCGGGACTTTTTGTCCCAGCTGTTGCAAAATTACAATAATTCTTAGTATTGTCTTGACGGACCTGGGGAGAGAAATGGAGCGGAGGCATTTAGGACCCAGGGGAAAGCCAGGCTCGGTATAGAAGGACAGTCTCCAGCGCTCGCACACACGCCTCCTACCAAAATCACAGCCCAGTGGAGCCGGGCTCTCATTCACAGCTTTCTAGAGAAATCTGAGCCCGAACCTGCCAGAATAGGGGATCTCACCTACTCAGCTCAGCAGCGCGGACACCTGCAGAAACACATTCCCAAAGCCAGGCTGGGCGGCCGTGTAAAGGTATTTCTTGCCTTTTTTCTCCCTTCTGTATTCGCAGCGCCTCCCCGCCTTTCCTCCCACTCTTGCGATGCCATGGCTGCGGCGTTTCAGCACTTCGGTGCGCGGACAGCTCCCATCTGCAATCCCTCTATCCCTCCCGCACCCTGTGCTCCCTAACCTCCCGGGTCCATCCTCCTCCTCCCCGCGCCCGCTCAGTCTGCACCCCCTTACACCATCAGCACCCCCATCTCCACCATCGCCGTCATGATCGCCACCATCACCAGCGCCGAAACTACAGTCAACACAACTGTGTGTGGTCACTTAGACAAAGCCCGAGGTCCGCAGGGTAGAGGAAAAGAGCCCAAGTTTTCAGGCATGGGAGGGAAAGTTCAGGTGGACGTCACCTCTGAAAACAAAGGGAGGCGCCTGCTTGGGAGAAAGGAAAAGTGGAGACAGGAGAGAGAGACCCCGGGCAGGGGGACAGATGGGCACTTGCCAGACACCAGCAGTTAGCCAGCTGCCTTTCCGCAGATTAGGGACTGTTTAATTCAGGAAATGAACGTGGCCTGGGGCATCGTGTTTTTCCGGTAAAACAGACATGTAAACTCCACCCGTGGTCTGGCTTCCCAATGGAGAACCGCCAGGAAGCAGGGTGGGGGTGACTGATGACTCATATTCACCCACACGCCGTTTTCCTGCCTAAGCGTTTATTGCAGAAACTCGGAAATTAAGTTGTGTTCGGGGTTTTTTTTCGGAAATGGTTTGTAAAATGGAAACCCCAAAAGGTGAACTCTGTGGCCAGAGTGAACATTAAAAATGATGGTGATGATCATCATACGCTCACAAATGCGGCTCTCCTTGGAAAGTGCTATTTGTTCCAACGTCTCTTCCTGTCGACTTATTTCATTTTTCAAATTTCCGATCTTAAGCCTCTCTTGGAAGCAGAGAAGATAGATCCCTTGCCCAAATGGCCAAGTAGTAATGATATTCAGAGCAGATGGCCTGGCTTTGTTCATCACTAGGCAAGGACTGACTCAGATTTGGAAGGAGAGATTTTTGCGTGTTCTGTCAGTAATCGGCAATAACACCATTTTCCTATAATACTAAAAGGTAATAGAGGGTAAAAATTGAAAAGACATTTTATGTAACTGTTCTATCAGGCTCTGCTTTTAAAGTAATATCATTTTCTATCTCAGCTGGGGGGCGGGGGGGAGTTAGAACAGCTTTCAAATATCTTGAAGATCCAAGCCCAAGTTAAGGCACCTCTATAATTTAGCCAGGATCCTCTGTTTATTAAGAACTAAGAAACATCAGAAAAGTGCCAGCTCCTGTCATAAATAAAAATATTTTGGTGGGTTCCCATATAATCTATTATGACTGAATTACAAAGTACTGGGTTGATTTTGGGATTTTTTTACAATTTTTTTTTCATAAAATCAGCATCTTAATTAAAAATGAGATGGATCGAATTTTCATACAAAGATAATGTCAGCTCACATATGTAACAACAAAGTTTAAACCAGAGCACAGAAAAGGCTCATTTTAAAATTATCCTTTTATATTTCTCCTGCCCTTTGAAAAAGAGGCAATAAAGCAAATTTTGTCAAAATCAGCTTGCTCCTCATGAGAGGCAATGTCAAAAATAAAGAATAGTCACAAATATCTTCTGGAAGAAGTTCTGAGAAAAAAATTCACACCAAATACTCTTCTTGAATGTCAAAAGTTACTTACTACCAAACATTGGCATGATTCTACCTGCCTCTAAGAATCACTCAATTTTAAACCCAAACCAAGAAAACGAGTGAAAACATGTGATGATATTGATTTTTAGAGAAGAAAATTCAGTCATCTATGTGCAGTTACTGTCCTTTTATTAGTAATATCCACAGTATATAGTATCTCCTAAGCACCCTGGCTTCCCTTTTATTTTTATTTATTTATTTTTATTAAAAGCTATTTTACCCTTTTCATGGCTTTAATAAGAGACCTTCCTCATCTTCATCATGGATTTAAAGATGAACAGGAAAGATATTTTTTCAACAGCGTGTCATCATGTTTAGTAGCCAGTAACTGTTGACATTCAAGAAGAGTATTTGGTAAGAATTTTTTTTCTTCTCAGGACTTCTTCCAGAAGATACTTGCTTCCTGGTGGTTCTCTATTGGGAAGCCAGACCACGGGTGGTGTTTACATGTCTATTTTACCGGGATCAATATCATCACATGTTTTCACTAGTTTTCTTGGTTTGGGTTTAAAATTGAGTGAACCTGAAGAGGCAGGTAGAATCGTGCTCACAGAGGGGCACACGCTTTGAGAAGCATGGAGCATAAAGCTGGAAGGTCCTTCCTTTCCCAAAGGGGGAATCATAATGCTTCAGAACAGGCGGGTCTGCTTATTTCTGCAAGCTTTCCAGAGGGACACCTTGTTGACCCTAAGAAGTCTATTCACGACTTTACACAAAGCCTCATAGCACAGCCATCCTTAGTACATGGACTCAGGCAGACGGACTTCTCTGCTCTCCTGTTACACAGTGGCTTAGAGAAGGTAACATAGCACAATGGTATGCAAAACATGAGGTTTGGACACATGCAATGAGCTCAGAAAGAGCCCCCAACATTGCCAAGAAAGATCTTTCCCCCCCCATTCCAACCTTTCCCTCAAATTTTGATTATTTTAGTTATGGTTCATTTTATCCATATCTCACTGGAATTTGTTTCGGGAGAATATGCAGTGTGAGTTACTATGAGTCTACAACCCCTAACATCGGCCCCAAGTGTTATATCTTCCTAGGGAAACTGAGCTTAATTTTTACTTAAGAGTAGTTTGTCTTTGGTTTGATTCTTCCTGGATGTGGAAATGAACGGGTCACTCTCCTCTCAATAAAAATGTTCATTTATTCAGGTAATAAGTTCATTATTCTTCACTACCTCTGCTACCTCCCATGGGCCTTTCTTATATCTTCTCTGGCTGTGTTATCATGTGACAGAGGAAGTTTTCTGCGTGGGCGGCTAATTTCCCATGAGATTTTCTTCTTCCTGACTTCTGAGCCATCGAGGATTCCCCATTGTGTTTGAGATCATCAGCTCTTGTTTGCTGGACCCCGTAGGCCAAATCTCCAGTTCTTAGATATTGTACAGACACATTCTCCATCTCTTCTCCTTAAAACAGCATCACATCAGTTCACCTTTTGTTATTGTCCAAATGTCTCATGTAAAGGTCCATACTTTTCTATGTGCCAAGTACATAGTATATTCAGTTTTCATTATTTGGTGCTTTTGGAGACAGTAGAAGAGAAGTCGTGGGAATGAGTGGCAGTGAGGAGTGGCAGGTAGGGGTTCAAATCACAAATTCTATTAATAAAAGGACTGTAGGCTAATGTCTAAAATACAATAAACAAAAGAGAGATTATTCTTTTCCTCCTTCACTCCTCCCTTCCTCTCACCTTCTCTTGCTTCCTCCATCCTTCCTTTCTTTATTGCTGTTGGTTGATATATAGAGCATTCAAGCGTGTGTAAACAATTAATGGGGTGATCTGAGAAGCTATTATGAATGCCAGGACTCCAAAAGGAATGAGTATATTGGAGTGTTTTTATTCTCTTCTTGGACAATGTAGCACTATTGTCCATAGAGAGTGTAAGCTCTAACCTCGGGGGCAATTAACTTACCTTCTCAACCCCTTGGTTCATGAAACTCTTTAGACCATTGCTTCCCACACATTCACATGCATACACATTGCTTGGGGTCTACTACCT